CTCTCTCTCTCTCTTCTCTTCTCTCTCTCTCTCTCTCTCTCTCTCTCTCTCTCTTTCTCTCTCTCTTTGGCCAGGATGGGGGGGTGTTCTGATGTCATTTCTTAAAATTAGGAAGTTGTGGAATCCCCCGTCTTGGATACATGAGATTTTAAGCATATCAAAAAATCTAGGTTGTCAAAGGAGACTCTAATATCATGGGAGCTCGGCATTGGTTTTTTCCCAATTTGATAAAAGGAGACTATCATAGGTTAACTGTTTAGGAAGCTGTTTTCAAGCTTGGTTGGCTATAATAGATAGTAGAAATAATATTTAGTGTTGATAGTCATGAAAAGAAAAGAGTGATGGAATGATAACATTAAAATGAATTCAAGTGACAAGAAAATGCAAGAAATGTATACTGATATTTTCTTTGTTTTCGCAATCAATTTTGTGTGTCTAAGGGGTAAAGAGGATAAAGTGGTGCAACAATTTAAGCATGCTAGCCTGTTCCCAATAAAGTCTATTTGGGGTCCACTGATAGGAGGGATGGAATGGTTGTCTTGAAAAGGAGAGCTCCTCCTTTGCTGTTTAGTTCTTCTAGTTTCACCTTTCTAAATAAGTTCCCGATTGAAAAAAATATCCAAACACGAGCAATCCATTCCCTAAATTTTTCCTTGTGTATAAAAAGGGAGGAGAGATGGCAGATCATAGACCATGTATTGCCACAGTGCATTGTCCAATTCCAGGTGCCCTAGGTGTTGGTGAGGTCCCTTATGGGTTTGAAGATGGCAGTCTGCTATGATACAAAAACCAAAGCAAGGGCACCTCCCAAGCTCGCACGATTTCCATAGATAATGTGGAATTATGGAAGGCGAGAATTAATGGCATTTTCAGGGTGCCAATCATGATGGAAATGCTTTCTTTTTTACCATTACTATTTGTGGCCTTCACTACTTGATCAAGAAGGGTGTCAAAGTCGAAAAATTCAGCAGCTTGGGCTGATAAATAGTCTTGGGATTCCAATTAGCTTAATAGAAGAATGGGTAGCCCACTTAATTTAACGAAAGGCTATATTTATTATGGCACTCCAGAGAGGAAGTGGACACATCGAATGTTATGAAGGGTGGGGTCTTGAAGACTTTGTATATAACATATTCAGACCTTTTGCTCTGAATCAGGTTTCTATGGGTGCTGCCCCATAGCCACACACTATTGAGCATAGCATGCTCAAGGTTATTAGATTTTGCAAGGAATGCCCTATCCATTAGATTATGGATGCGCAATGGCAATCAAAAAGTTAGACCGAGTATCTTTTGCCTAATGTACGAAGGAAGGGTAACTTAGTACTGTTAGGTTACAGTTCAAAGGAAACTGAGGATAGGGTAGGATGTTGAGGCTTACGGTGGTGGATTCTTTCCATTAATGTATTTACTCCGTTCCTTTTTAAAGGGATGTTGTCAATCAGCAGAAAAACATAATAAATGAATTAACTGAAATTCAATACGCAAGTACCTGAGAAACAAAGAGTGGAAATTTTGAGGCAACAGATTTATGGTACCTGAAAATGTCATAGGATTAGGTCCTGATATCATCAACCAAATGGTAGCAATTCGAAAGTACCAATCTTATGACATAGATTGGTTCCTTCAGTCCTTATAAATCATTTATTGAAAGAATTACAGAAACCAAAAAAATCCCTCACATATAATGGAGCCGCAGCTTCTCTAGTGTAAGACAAACCAATAGTCTGATAAGAACTTACTTTAGAATAGATTGAATTGTCCTTTCTAGGTAGTCTGGACGATTGCAGGCCATAACCACCACAGCTGCCACTGGGACATGCTGATTTCAGCAGACAAAACATATAAGAACTAGAATTTACACTATCTGAGCAGGCTCAAATGGGACAATACTGGATATCCATCGGCGATGTACTATGCCATAATTAAAATGCACAAATATGCAAAGGCCCCGGTGACAAACAGGCTGTAGTCCATTTTTACCTCATTCTTGCCGACCAAGCTTTTCACACCTTTCTCTGCGATAAAAAGAAAATAAAATAAGTAAATAAATAGTATTACTACACATATAGTAGACAATATATACGTTAACAAAAACCATGAAACAGCTGATTAATGAACAAGTCCAAATTTTTTGAAGAAAGACATTTTCATGAAGTAAGAAAATGCATCCCAAAATGGGGACTGTTGACCTAGTGTGGTCATGGAGCAGGTAAACCCAAAAAGAAATATCCAAACAGGTTTCGCTTATTTCCTGGCTTCATTACATGCAAATCTATGGAAATGAAGAAGCTTCCACAATTTAGCATTAGAAAGGATACGGGTTGGAAGAAACCAGGGAACAGGGCTCATGAGCAAGTGTTACGTGCTGTAGTAGCCTAAGCAGAAGGTTCTTGTAAATGAAGGGACGAACACCTTCCAAAGTGTTTTGTTGCTTCCCATCTATACGATGTACAAATCTGCTGTCAGAAAACCTGGAGACGTTGGTGGGTTGGTGGGTTACAAAAGATTTATGCATTTGCTGGAACACCCAGCAAATGAAGCAGGCCACCTCTACAAAAGGCCTATAAACAAGCTAGGCCCCATTTATTTTCCCCAATACGAAGGTGTGATTGCTTCATGCCAATGTCTATGTCTAGTAGAGAAAACTCTTCCCATGCTCAATAAATGGGATCATTGTTGGTATGGGAAAGGACTGCCCTTTTATAAAAAAAGATGCTATTGTTTTCTTAAAATATAGTGCAAATAATTACTTATTACAGCAAAAATTGAGATGATGAGTCATTCCTAAAATATAGGGTACAGCAAAAACTGAGATGATGAGGAGTCATCCCAAAACAAAAGGTAATTCAGAGATCTATGAAGGAAAAGAGAAGTCCGATCCTTGGTCAGACAGCCACATAATTCTCCACCAGAAGGATGTGTACAGAGGGGGAAAGGACTGCTTTACGAAAGAGAATAAGTTGAAAACAAAATGTCATTCCAAGAGATTATGTAACAAACTTTCAAGATCGTCTACAAGAGCCTTCAAATGCTGACATTCGTCATCTCGCAGCTTCTTTTCTTCTGCAATTGGCAGACAATATTCGATTAGTATGAAAGCAGGTGACAAATCCAGGACACGTGGTTAACAAAATTTATCAAATAGTCATAACTCTAACATATTACGAACAAATTATTCTATCTCAAATATCAGTGAATTTTGTATCATCAAAATTCAATGAACACTTGAAGAATTAAATCTAGCGTATGCTTAGTGAAGGCCAAAAAAGACATCACAATTCAATGTCAACCTCAGCAATCCAAATAAACACATTGATAGGAGCACCAAATGTGAACTGAATCAGCATTGTTACAATATATATATATATATATATATATATATATATATATAGT